CGCGCGGGCTGAAACGCATAAATATAACACAGAGGATTGATCATTTCAAAGGCATTTTCTTTTCTTTTTTTTTGAGACAGAGTCTCACTCTCTTGCCTGGGCTAGAGTGCCGTGGCATCAGCCTAGCTCACAGCAACCTCAAACTCCTGGGCTCAAGCAATCCTCCTGCCTCAACCTCCCAAGTAGCTGGGACTACAGGCATGCGCCACCAGGCCCGGCTAATTTTTCTATTTTTAGTTGTATGACTAATTTCTTTCTATTTTCAGTAGAGTGGGGTCTTGCTCTTGCTTGTGCTGGTCTTGAACTCCTGACCTTGGAGCAATCCTCCAGCCTTGGCCTCCCAGGGTGCTAGGATTACAGGTGTGAGTCACTGGCCTGATCTCAAAGGCATTTTCTTTTTCTTTCTTTTTTTTTTTTTTTTTTTTTGAGACAGAGTCTCGCTTTGTGTCCAAGCTAGGAGTGGAGTGGTGAGGTGTCGTGGCGTCAGCCTAGCTCACAGCAACCACAACTCCTGGGTCAAGCGATCCTCCTGCCTCAGCCTCCCGAGTAGCTGGGACTACAGGCATGCCGCCACCATGCCCGCTAATTTTTTTATGTATATATATCAGTTGGCCAATATAATTTCTTTCTATTTATAGTAGAGACGGGGTCTCGCTCTTGCTCAGGCTGGTTTTGAACTCCTGACCTCGAGCAATCCGCCCGCCTCGGCCTCCCAGAGAGCTAGGATTACAGGCGTGAGCCACCGCACCCGGCCTCTTTTTTTTTTTGAGACAGAGTCTTCCTTTGTTGCCAGGCTAGAGTGAGTGCCATGGCGTCAGCCTAGCTCACAGCAACCTCAAACTCCTGGGCTTAAGCAATCCCACTGCCTCAGCCTCCCCAGTAGCTGGGACTACAGGCCATGCGCCACTATGCCGGCTAATTTTTTCTATATATATTAGTTGGCCAATTATTTCTTTCTATTTATAGTAGAGACAGGGTCTCGCTCTTGCTCAGGGCTGGTTTCGAACTCCTGACCTGGAGCAATCGGCCCGCCTCGGCCTCCCAGAGAGCTAGGATTACAGGCGTGAGCCACCACACCTGGCCTGGCATTTTCTTTTTTTGTTTTTTGAGACAGAGTCTCACTCTGTTGCCAGGTGAGTGCTGTGGCATCAGCCTAGCTCACAGCAACCTCAAACTTCTGGGCTCAAGCAATCAGGCATTTTCCTTGCAAAGGTTAAAGCAGAGGAGACTTCCTTATCATGCTGGCTAAGACTGGCCTGTTTGGGGGTTTGGCTATTATCTCTCTGTCTCCTGATTTCTAGGAAGGTCAGATAACACCTTAGTTTCAGTTTGGTGATGGGGAAACTTTAGCATGAGTGACTCCATTCTGCTTGGTCTGCTGGGGCCTAGCGCAGGAGCTCAGTCTGAAATGATGGCCTCCTAGAAGTTTTGTTTAACAGAGGTTGTGGCAGCGTCCGGAACCCTGCCACTTGGGGATGGGCCCTGGGAGGGGCTCCTGTGCCAGCAGATGGCCTCCTGCTTCCATAGGGCTGGCACTTCATCAGGTCCCCACTTGGCTCTCAGCCAGCAGCTGCCCCAAGTGCTTGTTCTTCCTGTCCCTCCAGTCCTGGACGCTGAGGAGGAAGGGCAAGGACAGGAGAATGAGGGTGGGTGAGGCCGATGGGGACCCAGATGCTGTAGTGAGGTCCAGCGTGATACCTGGTGTGGAGTCTGTGTGGTTCTGTGCCCTGCCCCCAGATCACTCACTTCCCTCTGACCCTCTCAGCATCCCAGGTCCCCTGACTGGGAGGGTCACCCTCTGTATTCTATGCATGCCACCAGGCCAGTCTTCTTAAAGAAGATTTCACAGCATGTCTCTCCCCTGTCCCAAATCTGCAGTGACTGACCCTGTCCACCCTGTCTCAGAACCACTATAGAATTGAGGTTCTGAGACCTGGTGGGGAGGGCTGTGTGCTCTGGTCCCTATGTGCACCTCTACCGTGTTTTCCTGAAAGTAAGACCTACCCATAAAATAAGCCCTAGCAGGATTTCTAAGCATTTGCATAATAGAAGCCCTATCCCGAAAGTAAGACCTAGTGGCTATACAGCGCATCTGCACAACCCATGCATGTCGTCTGAGAGCGGGAAAGAAGAGCAGCAGCCCCACCAACAAGGCCAGCTCCCCCTGTCAGGTCCCAGCCGTCCTGTGCGTGCTGCAAGCTGAGGCTTTGAGGGGAAAATAACACACCCCCTGAAAATAAGCCCTAGGGTGTGTTCTTGAGGAAAAATAAATATAAGACCCTGTCTTATTTTCGGGGAAACACAGTATGTGCCTAGCCTTGTCTTTGGTCCCTTTTGAGGATGCTGTTTGCCTTCCCTTCTTCTTTCTCATGCTGTCCACTGCACTCTCTCCTTAGGGAAACCCTCCTCAAATGCCACCTCCTCCAAGGATCCTGCTGATTGTGCCAGGAAACCTCAGCAGCAATCTCACCTGATGTAAGACAAGGTCACGCTGCTGCCCCAGCCAGAGAAGGCTCTTAGAGGCTTGGGACCTGGTTGAACCCACCTCTGCCCTTTCCAGCCTTGGGCGTTGCATCGGGTGTCCTCCATGTCCAGTGTCGGGTTGCTGTTCAGGGAACGTCTGCTCAGCACCCTCCTGCTTGGTGGAAGATGGCTCTTCGGCTTTGGAATTTCAATGGTAAAAAATCTATTTTTGTGGCTTTTGCTCATTAAGAGTATTTCTGTTATGTTCAAGAATGTTCATTCAGTCCAGAAATAGTACGCACTTTCCTAAAAAAAAAAAAAGAATGTTTACAAGAGGCCGGGTGTGGTGGCTCACGCCTATAATCCTAGCACACTGGGAGGCCAAGGCGGGCGGATCACTCAAGGTCAGGAGTTCAAAACCAGCCTGAGCAAGAGTGAGACCATCTCTACTATAAATAGAAACAAATTAATTGGCCAACTAATATATATATAGAAAAAAATTAGCCGGGCATGGTGGCGCATGCCTGTAGTCCCAGCTACCAGGGAGGCTGAGGCAGCAGGATTGCTTGAGCCCAGGAGTTTGAGGTTGCTGTGAGCTAGGCTGACGCCAGGGTCAGGCAAAGAGTGAGACTCTGTCTCAAAAAAAAAAAAAAGAATGTTCATAGGAATTTTGTTCCTAATGTTAAAGGGTAATTTTTAAAAAGTAAAATCATGACTCTCACACAAATATAAAATAAACATGTGTTAAAGAGTTTAACTCCTGAGGGAATTGGTAAGATGTTACTAGTAGTTAAAAGGAAAATTCAAAGATCAGAGACACAGATCAGGATTACTAAAATAAACTTGCAAATGTAGGCAAAACTGCCTTTTGTGCTGTTGGGGAGAGTTGTCCCTAGACAAGAATCATTTGCATTGCTATCAGTTTTCTACAATTTACAGAATTGGAGAAGAGCTCCATGGCAATAAAAGGCCCAGAGACCCCACAGAATGAGAATCAGATAACTTAGAAGGATATGTGCTGATTATGCATAGCTTTCCATGGGCTCTTTAGTGCTTATTCCAATTTTCCTTATACTAATAGCTCACGACTGGAGACAACCCCAATGTCTATTAATAGAATGGATAAACTATAGTATGGTAAATTTATAAAATGGAATGCTACACAGCAACCAAAATGGCATTCATGTCCTGTGCCACTGATACATGCAACAAGACAGATGAATCTCACAGATCTTATGTTGAGAGAAAGGAGGCAGACACAAAAGAATGCATATTGTAGAAGGCTGAATAATGGCCCCCAAAGGTATCAGGTCCTAATCTCGGAAATCGGTAAATGCTACCTTATTTGGAAAAAGGTCCTTGCAGATTTGGTAAATTAAGGATCTTGTGAGAGGAGATTATCCTGGGTTATCCAGGTGGGCCCTAAATGCCATCACAACTGTCCTTGTAACAGAATCAAGCTGGGTGTGGTGCTGGGAGCCTGTGATCTCAGCTATTTGGGAGGTTGAGTGGGGAGGATCACTGGAGCACAGGAGATTGAGGCTGCAGAGAGCTATGATCATGCCACTATACTCCAGTCTGGGCAACAGAGCAAGACTCTAAAAATAAAACAAAGATATAGATCAGTAGGTACAGTACTATTTATGTAAAAAAAATGCAAAAGAATATACCTGTTTATTTGGACATCTGTTTATATTCATAAATATCTCTAGAAGGATATCAAGAAAGTGAACATACTTGGTTGCATCTGGAGAACTACAGGAGTGGTGTTGGGGTTGACATAGTGCCTTCTGAATTTTGAAATATGCAAATGTATTACCTATTCAGAAATAAACACAAACCATAGGGAATCACATCAACAACTTTATACCAATGATTTTGAAAACAATGACAAAAAAGACAGTTTTATAGAAAAATAGAACTTAGAAAGATGAAGTAGGAAGAAATAGAAAAGTCTGTCTAAATCTAGAACCATTACAGATATTGAATGCTAGTTTAAAATTTATATCCCATCTTCTCAAAAATCTCACAAAGACAAAACCAAAGAAAAACACCTGGCCTGGATGATTTTATAGGCGTGGTCAGCAAACATTAGAAAAAATAGAAAGTCCTGATCTTATAATCTTCCAGAAAAAGAAAATGGAATTCCCCACAACTCATTGTGAATTTAGTATAAGCTTAATACCAAACCAGACATGGACAGCACAAGACGTCAAAAGTGTAGGCCCACTTCTCTTATGTATATGAAAAAGTACTAACAAGATTTGCAAAGCGTCCAGCTACGTATTAAAATATATCAATACCGGCCGGGCGCTGTGGCTCACGCCTGTAATCCTAGCTCTTGGGAGGCCGAGGCGGGCGGATTGCTCAAGGTCAGGAGTTCAAAACCAGCCTGAGCAAGAGCGAGACCCCGTCTCTACTATAAATAGAAAGAAATTAATTGGCCAACTGATATATATATATATAAATTAGCCGGGCATGGTGGCGCATGCCTGTAGTCCCAGCTACCAGGGAGGCTGAGGCAGAAGGATCGCTCGAGCCCAGGAGTTTGAGGTTGCTGTGAGCTAGGCTGACGCCACGGCACTCACTCTAGCCTGGGCAACAAAGCGAGACTCTGTCTCAAAAAAAAAAAAAAATATATATATATATATATCAATACCAAGTTGTGTTTTTCCTAGGAACCTAAAATAACGTAATAAAAGAAACTTATTGAAGTAGCTCAAACTATCAAAGGAAAAATCCTGCAGGGTAATTGCAATGCGTTCCAACTTGACAAAGGCTATTTAGCTTAATATGCATGCGCGCGTGTCTGGGCGCTCACGTGTGTTTTGTCTGTGCTCCCTGCTAGCGCCAGGAGGGCAGAGCTTGGGTGGCTTTTGCCCCATTGTCTGGCTCTTGCCTAGCGCCGTCTCTGGCACCCTGTAAATACGTGCTGCAGGAATGACGGACCTCCGCGCTGAGGAGAGCCTTTGAGCTAGAGGACTCTAGGTATCATCCCGCTTCACCTGCGGGGCCTCCAGGTGCACACACCTCTACAGGCTCCAGCACAAGACCTGACGCCAGCGTACTGGCTGCATGGGCGTCGTTGGAGAAGGGCCGAAAGGCAAAGCGCCTGCGCAACCCAGAGCCCGGAGGGACCCGAGCCGGGAGGGCGGAGCGGTGGGCGCCTGCGCAATGGCGGGATGTGGGCGGGGCCGGTATGGCGCCTGCGCAGGCGGCCGCGGCCGTCCGGGGCGGTGAAGGGGCGGGCCGAGGGCGGGGGCCGTGAGGGAGGCAGGGCGGGCCGGGCGAGCGGCGCCGCGGGGTTGGCTGCTGCCCTGAGGCTGGACTCAACGGATCCCAGCCGCGCCACCGGGCGAGCCCGCCGCCCGGCCCTAGCCCGGAGCCAGCGAGCGAGCGATGCAGCGCCCTGCGGTAAGAGCCAGGGCCGGGTTCCCTCAGCGTGCGCTGGGGGTTCAGTTCACCTCAGCGCCGCCCGCGCGACCAGGCCCGGGCGGCCCCGCAGACCCCGGCGGGCCCCGCGCCTGCGCTGTCCCGCTCCGGGACCACCCCCCTCCCCCGCACTCTGCACGCCCGGCGCCTGCGCCGTCCCCCCCTGAGTCCTGGGTTCCCGGCTCCCGAGTCCCCCAGGGCTCGCGGGCAGCTGTCCGCTGGTGTTGGGGCCCAGCTGGTTCTGGTCCCCCAGGTCGTCTCCGTGCCGAGAGGCGGGGTCCGACCTTCGCGCTTTGCTCTCCCGGCGCCCGGGGAGTGGCCGCCGCCGCCCCATCGTCCTGGTCCCCTTCCTCGGGCGGGGACAGCGTTGCTCCGCTGTCCCCGGGACGCGGCGTGGGAAGCAGGGGCCGCAGGCGGAGTTCCCCGGGCCAGCTGCGGGTGCTGCTGCAGCGGGGCCCGCGCCCCGCTTCGCTGGGAGGGCAGCCCGAAGCAGGCGGACTGTCCTTTCTTCTCGAAACTTGGTTATTTGCATCAGGTTGGGTGTGCTTTGCCGAGAAAATTTTGCATTTCCAGCAATTTGGTAATTGTATTTAGCTTAAGTGGTTAAGTTTAAGGCATCGTTGTCCAGTCTTTGGCAAGTTGCCCTGGAGATAACTGGAAAAGAGATCAGTTTCCAGGTAGTTCTAGCCTGTTTACGGACCAAGTAAGAATTCCTGTGATTATTCAAATGTAGGGAAGCTTGATTTGTTGATGCTCTTGATGGTTTGTCCGAAAGTAGCAGGAAGGGTCGGGAAAAATTTCCATAAATTTACTGCTTAATTGATGACAGGAAAAATGTTTTTGTTATAAAAAGAGCATCTCAAGCCATTGATAACGTTTCCCAAGTTAGTAACAGATACAGGAACCTTTAAAAAATGTTGCAAAGCCCAGCAACATTTGCTGTCACCAAGGAGGATGCCTCTTGAGATGAAATCACAGCTGTGGGCTTCCTAGACAACAGCAGTCATTTCTGGTGTTTGTAGGGAACTGCAGTTTTGCCATTGTAGGTGATAACCAAAAGGACTATAGTAATTTTTCTTAATAATTAAAAACAAGGCATAAAAATAAGACGTGTGTTATAAAATAGGCAAACCAACACAGCATGGTGGTGTATGGTGAAAGGAGAAGTAGAATATTAATCTGGATAAAATTTTTTCTATAAAGAAATGGCTGATCCAATAAGTTTTTTTTCCCATAAAAATGTCTCCTTTTCCCTTTTGATTTAGTCACACAAAGCAGAGGCTTTTTAAGACTCAGCAACTTTGATAGCTAGAAAATGCTTTGTAATGCTTGCCTGTGGGTACCAGGTATGAAGGGATATTCTTGACGTTCATTTTCAGTAAGAAAGTGGAAAGTTTTATCACTGCACCTTGGCAACGGTCCAAATACATGAGTGTCAAGTACAGTAGTGAATGGAGAATAATTATAGTAGTTGTGGTCAAAATGAAGTTTGTATTAAGATTTCTGTTTCAAACTTCTGAACTTTATGGTGTGTGTCTGCAGAGTGTCGCCTTGAGATGTGATTTCTCTGAAGTACTAGTTGTCTTATCACTGATTTGACTCAATACATCTTATCTTATGTTCCAGATGACTCAGGTGATAGTAATATCAAAATTACTATCAGGGTTGAGTTCTCATAATACAGAAGACTCATAGCCAGGTGTGGTGGTGTGAACCTGTAGTCCTAGCCATTCTGGAGGCTGAGGCAGGAGGGTTGCTTTGCTTGAGCCCAGGAGTCTGAGGCTGTGGTGAACTATGATCACACCACTGTATTCCAGCCTGGATGACAGAGGGAGACCTTGTCTTTAAAAAGAAAAAAATAAATAAAAATAAATATCAATACGGGTCGGGCGCTGTGGCTCACGCCTATTAATCAATCCTAGCACTCTGGGAGGCCGAGGAGGGCGGATTGCTCAAGGTCAGGAGTTCAAAACCAGCCTGAGCAAGAGCGAGACCCCCATCTCTACTATAAATAGAAAGAAATTAATTGGCCAACTAATATATATACAAAAAATTAGCCGGGCATGATGGTGCATTCCTGTAGTCCCAGCTACTCGGGAGGCTGAGGCAGCAGGATTGCTTGAGCCCAGGAGTTTGAGGTTGCTGTGAGCTAGGCTGATGCCACAGCACTCACTTTAGTCTGGGCAACAGAGAGAGACTCTGTCTCAAAAGAAAAAAAAAAGGAAAAAAAAAATCAATACGTAAGACTTGCCATGTAACCATATACAAATGTAAATCACATGATGGACTTGTGCATAGTATTAGCAAACTGCCCAGCCCCATAAAGGAGCAGTGACAGGATGTCAGGAGGCTGGAGAAATGGTCTTCTTGGCTTATGGCTTTGAGCAACTCAGCTTTCCTTTTTGGACCTTCATTTCCCCATCTGTAAAGTTCAAGGGGATGGAAAGAAGCTTGAGGTCATATTTTAACATTTAAAAAGTCCTTGTCTACAGAATCTTCTTCAGCCAGGGGTAGAACTTCATCTTCTCATCAGTTCCATGACATTGCCTGTTGTCCCTCTTCAAAGATGGGAGGGGTGGGTGTCCTTGTAAAGTTGGTGAGAATGAATCTTGGAGACTCTGTGGTAAGGCACCTGAAATGGATGGAGTGTTGAATGGGCCTTAGTGTAATGAGAAAAACAAGGATAATATTGGGAGTTTTCATAAAGCTAAATTTGATCCAATAAAAGGACTGTCATTTCTTTTAAAAAAAGTCTATTTTCTTGGTGTTAAATTTTCCTTTTTTTGAGACAAGGTCTCATTCTGTTGCCTAGGCTGGAGTGCTGTGGCGTGCTATCATAGCTCACTGCAATCTCCGGCTCTTGGTCTCAGATGATCCTCCTGTCTCAGCCTCCTGAGTATCTGGGATTACTGGCATTATTTATAAATTATTTTTTAAGAGTAAATATGATTTTACTTTGAGATCATTTATCACAATCCACTGAGAAATCTTCTGAGAAAGCTGTTAAATATGCCTGGCATTAAAAATACTCTTATTCTGATCATCCTTTAAATAGGTCCTTTCTTTTTTTTTTTTTTTTTTTTTTTTCCAGTTACTGAAGCTGCAATATAGGTCCTTTCTTATTGGATATAAAATGTCAGGAGATTTTTGTGTGTGTGTGGTGTGCCAACAAAATAAGCCTAGGCAGGGAAATTCCTCCTAGTGGTTGGAATTGTTAGTACTGAATAGACCAGCTGCAAGGTAAAGTACCCCCATGGGGTTCTGTCAGCTCAGAAATCTTTTAACATTGTGGCTTCAGCCTTTTGCTATGAAACAACATGACCATCAAGAAATTCGGCTGAAAGAATGTATTTTGGGGGCCGGGCGCAGTGGCTCACGCCTGTAATCCTAGCTCTCTGGGAGGCCGAGGCGGGCGGATTGCTCGAGCTCTGGAGTTCAAGACCAGCCTGAGCAAAGCGAGACCCTGTCTCTACTATAAATAGAAACAAATTAATTGGCCAACTAATATATATAGAAAAAATTAGTCGGGCATCACGGTGAATGCCTGTAGTCCCAGCTACTTGGGAGGCTGAGGGAGAAGGATCATTTGAGCCCAGGAGTTTGAGGTTGCTGTAAGCTAGGCTGACGCCAGGGCACTCACTCTAACCTGGGCAACAAAGCAAGACTCTGTCTCAAAAAATAAAACAAAAAAACCTGCAACATTCTTTGGCAAAAATGTCTATTAAAAAAAAAAAAAACCTGCAACATATCAAAATGTGTAAAGGGGTGAATTTTTTTAAAGCATCTTGAATTGAAATTAAAATATGACTTCTAATTCTTTATAATACTAATTCTGAGGACTGGTTGACTGCTGTCAGCTACCTCTGAGTTCCCCATTTTCAAAGGATAATTTGGTAACCCCAGAAAGAAAATTTGTCCATGAGAGAAGAGAATGAAGGTTTTTTTTTTTTTTTTTTTTTGAGACAGAGTCTCACTTTGTCACCCGGGCTAGAGTGCAACCTCAAACTCATAGGCTCAGGCAATCCTGCTTCAGCCTCCTGAGTAGCTGGGACTACAGGCATGTGCCACCATGCCTGGCTAATTTTTTCTATTTTTAGTAAAAACTAGGTCTTGCTCCGACTGGTCTTGAACTGAGCTCAAGTGATCCTCTCGCCTCGGCCTCCCAGAGTGCTAGGATTACAGGCCTGAGCCACAGTGCCCGGCCAAGAGTAAAGATCTTTTAACAGTGTTTTTCCTGATCCCTTTTCCCACATCTTCATTGTAGTTGTTTTCTTTCTTTCTTTCTTTTTTTGTTTTTTTTTGGTTTAAATCTAGAGGTTTATTCCTGCCTCTGTCTTTCCAAACAATTAATCTGTTCACAGTCACTCTTCCATTTAAAAACCTTCAGTGGCTCCCACTGCCTTGGTAATAAGATCTCCTGAACTATCCAGGACACTTTATCATTCAGTTCTGCCCTCTGCTCTCCTACGAACTCTGTGTGCCTGCTTCACAGAGTTGTGCTGAGCAGCTCTTGGTCCCTTGAAATTTATCTTAGTCTCCTTGTCTCCCTCTGCTGGAATATTCTTTCATTTCATTTGATCATCGCCTTTAAAACTCAGCTCAGACATTGAGACCTTGCCTAGAAGGCTTCCCTGGTCCCCCAGTCTCCTGCAGGCTTGCCCAGCACTCTGTGCACATAGGATTTGGCACACTGCATCTTTTCTGCTGCCTCCACTAGACAGTGGCACCAGAGTGTGCGTAGCA